ATTGAAATGTGGTTGGGTAGAAAATTCTCATGGAGAGAGAATAGGGAAACAAAATTTTATAGATCAATAAGAAATTCACCAAAGTAACTTTTACAACAACTATTGAGCATTAATCCCACTACGTGGGGTCGGCTACATGAGTTCTTTTTCTCCATTGTGTCCTATTTAGTGTCAAAAAAGTAACTTTTCTCCATATTTATTTTCTTCTTCCTCATCTTATACTCCCAATCAAGGGAACAGTAATACTTATAAATTCATTTCTTCTCTCTTATTGTAAACCCAATCTAAATCTAAAGATGTTCTATCGAAGATAATCCTTTGAGTAATTTTTTTTTTTCATATTTACTTCTTTCTCCATCTGTTTTAATTGCAAGCTTTTTTATCTTTTTTTTTTTGGTGACAAACCAAAATGTTTTGGGAAAAGCTTCCAAAGATCAGAGATTTAGCTCTACCAAATATCATAAATTAGCTCTATCATTGATCAGAAATTAGCTGTTTCGTGGATAATCTTCTATCCATATTTAGAGTTGTGGATATTGAAGATATGTGAGAAGGTTAAGTAAATTTTACTTTTTATTATTTATTTTGTTGGTGATTCCAAAGAATTATTAATGGCATGTTTGTAAGTACTATTAGCTTGCGTAGCAATTTTAAGCTAATGGATCATAGCATTCATCTAGAAAAAAATGTGGATACGGTAATGGAAAGTTAAATATTTTATTGTATTCTGGATGAAACCACCTATTATGCTGAATTTCTTGAATAATACATGTTACTATTTCAATGCTATTAATGAAATTGATTTTTTTTTGTCGATTGGAACACTCGTTATTATTGTGCAAGAATTGATATGCTACCAATTTGTAAATAGAACTTCAATGTTTGTACCGATAGACTTTGACTTCCTTTTTCATGATCTTCAAATCCTTGGTTTCTTCCATGATCTCCAAAGTTGGAAGGAATTCCTTCACTCATGTTATCGATATTATAGCAGAGTGGTCATTTTGGGAAATTATGAAAGTGTGAGTGATTGTGAGTGAGATGGAGAAATGAAGATTTGCTTGAGGATTATGAATCACTAATTTCTCAGGAAGTTTGTAATATATAATAAGGAAGTTTACATGTAGCACATAATTCTGATGTATTTACATATATCACATCACACCTAGACTTTCATATTTACATATTTAAAACGTTGCTGGTTTAAACCTATGCATGAAAAAATTTATTTCACTTTTAAAAAGTTGTAATAGTGCTTTTTTTTATGATTTGAGTGCTATGCATGTAAATTTGAAAGTTTAGGTGTGAGACATGTAAATACATTCAAATTGTGTGCTATGTATGTAACTGCCCAATATAATAAATGGAAGAAAAACTATTGTGATGGATAAACTCAATTCATTTAGTTCAGATATTTAGTTAATTCTTTTATGATCAATTAATTCAGTTTTCATTTCAAGCAATTATTCACCCATTCATTATAGAATATTGATGTAGAATACGGTGACCTTGATATGCTAATTTGTTGATAATCATCCTTGATATTTTCTTTTCTTTTTGATTAAATGTTAAACCTTAATGAATAAAGTCATGAATTAGGCTTTATAAAGAGTAAAAGCTAGGGAGATTCTAAATGATTAACCAAGGGAAGGGAATTCTAAGGGAAGTACATAGAAAAATTGAAATTTTTTGGGAATTAGGAGTCATAAATTTTTTATTTTGTTGTAGGAGAGGAAAAAGTGATGCAAGGAAGAATTGGATGCGAAGAGAAATTTGATAGATATAAGAGTAGAGAGGAAAGAGAATAAAGGAGTGGAACCTTTTAAAGTGAAGTGATAATTCATAAAGCCCTTAGTTATAAAAATTATAATTTTAATTTAAAAATCATTATAAATTTAAAATTTAGATCTTGATTTTTTTCAAAAATTTTTCAACCTAATTGAAAATAAAGACCCTCTTAATCTTATATATAACAAGATTTTAATTTAAACCTTAGAATAATTTTAAAAATCCATAAAACTGAGAGTTGATAAGCCCTTTTTGTTGATATATTCTCTCATGGGCTTGGTAGACTCTTCTCTTGATTACCATCATAGAGAAAGCAATAGAATTGTTTTTGTGTCAACATCTATAGTTGTACCTAAGTAGCAACATGTTCTTGTATCATTTGCTTTTGTGTTACACAATTCTAATGTATTTACGTATGTAGCACCTTTTGATATTTACATTCATAACACCTTGGTGTTATAAACTTATGCATGAAAATGTGTATTTCACCTTTTAAAAAGGTAGTGCCGGTGGTATTTTTTATGTGATTTCAAAGATTTTAGTGGTATGCATGTAAATATGAATGTTTAGGTGTTAGATGTGTAAATACATAAGAATTGTGTGGTGGGTATGTAAATACACCTTGTTATTATTTGATTTGTTTTGTAGAAGATCTTACAGCCATATATCGGTTAGTGTAGTGACAACAAAAACTCTATATATTTTTCTCAAGCGGAAGAAAATACCTTTGTAACCTTTGGCACAACTCGTGTATTTAGAGAAGAATATTGCAAGATTATCTTAAGCAATCAATAAAATTGTTTATTCATTTCAATACTAATAGTAATAAAAGATATCTCAGTCTCAACAATAGGCTTAACACAATCTCATGTTATTCTTATGAGTAGTCTTAAACATAATTATGAGGAACAATTATTGATGTTCATCAGTATAAAACTCATTTGTAAAACTTGATTTAATATCCGTAAACCAACTCAATGTAAGTATTTGATTTTTTAATTGTTATAAATGATGATTACTTCTGAAATTAACTCAAGTTTTTTAAATATTGAGTTAAAAAATTGGCATATGATATGATATCTTTGTATGATACGATGGCTTTGTGTAGGGGATCATCTTATGGTTGTGATGGTGGTATTTATATTCTTAACGGGACATTAATAATCATAGGAATATTTGTAATGATCTAACACATTAACATTGATAAGCTTTGATGATAATTTATAATGTCTAAGAGGTATTATGATTATTATTGTAAATCTATTGTAATTTGGTTCATTGTACTTTCCGTATTAATAAGAATAAGAACTATAATCATGTATAATTATGAGAGTTTTATCTTATACTAATTGTTTCCTTTTTTTTTAATTACATGTTGTCTCTTTAGACAATATTTCAATCAATCATTATAACTCGTATCTTTCTTCATACCACTTTGCGTATTATATGATTTCTAAGGCTTATAATGAAAGAGGATATATTTCATATCTAAACCATACTCATGATAATATTTTAAAATTTATTACTTGTGAGCCTGTCGAACTATGCCAATAAATTTATAATATTGATTCTAGATCAAGAAAAGTTTTGTATCTCCATAGGTGAATTTATATTTTTCTTGCGCATCACTTGGGCATAATTCATATGTATCTTATATGGGCCAATTCTCTTGGCTTTAAATAGGTCATATTAATTTGCAAAACAGCTCATATGATTTAAAGCTAATATTATTAAGTTTAGCATTTTAAATTTTTTCTCCTACTTTGGTGGAATTTGGTAGTAATGTAAGACAAATAATTGGAAGGGATGGATTGGCAAGGGTTTATATGCAATTATACTCCAGAAATTTGTAGCTTTGATGCTAACTAATTATTGACTTTTAAAAAGGTCAAGGGTCTTGTAACCCAAAATTTGGTTTGGTTCATCAGCCTAAATAATATATCCTTGCCTAACCGAACTCACCCTTAGGCTTGCTTAACCCTTTGTTTGATATTTGATTATTAGCCATTAAACTAGTAAAAACCTGGCCAAGTTCATCAACCTGGCCAAAACAACATTTACTAGGGTCTTATTATACTAATTAAGTGATAGAAACTCACCTTAATCATGTAATAGGTTGGTCAATTTGATGATGATCACTCCGTTCGTTGTTCGCTTATCATCTTTGATCAAACTTCTTTGTTTGCTTGATTTTTCCTTGAAACCAGCCTTTGATGGAGGAAAATGATGAAATAGGCTTATGAAGCTTACTTATATTTCTGGAAATATGGTCCCAATTTATGTCATTAAAGTCTTAATATTTTATCATATAATTCAAAATGGAGATGATTATAGTATTAAACATACTAAAAATGAAGTAAATTCCTTAAACTAATTGTAAAATACTAGAAAGTTCTAGAAAGGGCTCTAAGATAATTTGGATGTGTGATATTATTTTTTGTAGCACCTAATCCGCTCAGCATAACGTATGATTTAAGAGGCATGAGTGTCATATTGATGATGATCATACATTTGACAAGTCAAACATGTTTTTCCTATGAAGGTTGAGTTTTTATATTCTTTTTTGGATAGCCCTCGTTGTCGGAAAAGAGCTACCTCTTTTTTGAGTTAATTCAATGAAAGAAATTACGTTGAAGTTTGGATAATATAATATATTTTTCTTAGCGTTTGTTTGATTTACCGTAAAATATTGCAGCGTAAAAAGAATATGATGTAATTGAAATGTAATAAAATATTTTGAAGTTGTTTGGTTTGGTGTAAAATGCAAGAGTTTAGATTTTTATATTTGGTTTGAAGAAAAATCAAAATTAATGTAAAACATGGTCAGTGTTTGCATCTGCAGGTGACTCCAGTGTGCATTATATTTGAAAATGAGTCAAATCTAATAAATTCAAATTGCACCAATTTTGAACTGCTGGATGAATTCCAAATTCTCCAAAATTAAACTCTGCATTCTTTTTTAATTTAGCAAAAGCCGAAATTTTAAAATCTCCTACATTTGATTTACTTTACACTAGAAAGATTGCCGACTCTACGTAGTGGGATAAAGGTTTGTTATTGTTGTTGTAGAAATGTAGGGACCAAACAGTTAATTTCTGTGGTAAACTCTGGCAATGTTCCCATATTTATAATCACCTACCATTAATTAAACTTCTACGATCTGTTAAAAAAACAAAAAGAAAAATCGCCAAATAAAACTCAATTTGTTACAGGAATGGGAGAGGCCAAAGCCTGGGCGCAGGCCTGATATATTCCCCAGGTTTAGTCCAATGAAGACTCCACTTCCGACTCCATGGCCGGCCGATCCACCTGAGGAAGACGAGGAGAAAGAAGAAGAGGAGAGGCAGGAGGAAGAAGAAGAAGAAGATGATCCAGAGAAGGAAGGTCCTGAGAAGCCTGACAAGGCTTCCTAGTTACTTCCCAGCTTTCTTCTTTACTGTATTTTGCTTCGTGTTAGAGGGTTATGTGTGAGTTCTTACTCTCTTTGATTTGTTTATTTTGTTATTAGCATAGACAAATCTGTAAAATAAATAAATAATCATAAACTTATTGCAGTTGTCTAAATAATTACCAATATGTTTAATTATGGTGTGCATTCATTACTTTAAACCAAAAAATCAAGGTAAAAGACCACCCGAAACTTGCTATTTACAAATCAACCATTCCCTTCATCCATTTTTCAAATTCTCATTCAAATATCAAAATTCATGGTAAAACCCCAACCCATAGTTTTTTTTGTTTTTATCAAAATTTCAATAGTTTGATCATTCGTAATTATCCCAAAAATCGAATTAGTTTTGTTTGAAAAAATCTATTAAATTGAAAAATCGAATGATATTGTGGTATCTTAGTTCCCGTTTGGGCAGCTTATTGGGGTGCGGTGGCAGTATGCGGACACTTACTTTGTGTTTGAAAAACACGTTCGCTCCAGGTTAATTCCACCGCGCCGAGCGCACGTAAGGGTTTTCGTTAATAAGGCGCGAAGCGGGATTGGGGCCATGTTCTGCGTTGGATTCGCGCTTTAGGGTGAATATTTTCTCGTGTGTCCTTCTATGCTCTCCCTCGCCCTCGACATCGTCTCAAGCTCTCCTTCTTTCGCGGCTTCTCTGCTCTCCCTCGCTGTCGTCCCGAGCTCCTTTGTCCTCGACACCATGCATTGAGGTCCTTTGTTCGCGTTCGTCAATAGAGAGGGAACAACAAATCTTCGGCCGACGCTAGGAAAATTCACCAAACACTTTTTTCTCGCATCGTTGCCTTTTCTTCTTCGAAATCCTAGATTGCAAATGTCCTCTTCCTCACTGTTTTAGTGTTTGCTTAGGTTAACTTTGTTCAGCATTTATTATGGTTATTGCTCTTCCCTGATGTTTTGAATGATGGCCAGTATTTTCTGCCTTTTTTTTTTGTAATGCATTTTTCTGATTCTTGAGAAGGAAATGAGAATTACGGGCTGTTTGGTTGCAGGATTTAGCTTAAGTACGTCCAAACAACAAAAGGGGAACCTTTAATTCCTACAGGTTCTTAGGTTCTTAAGATCAGTTTTTCCTGTGTCTTGGCTTCAATCCAGGATTTGGATAATCCATCATCAAAGGCAATTTTCTTGTAGTCATTCATAGATACACTCAACTATCTTTCTCAAATAATTCTCAAGCAGAGGAGATATAACACTTTGGACGACCCATTTGTTTAAGGGCAACCATGACTTCCATGAGCAAAGTTGTAGTGAACTTGTTGATCGCCAATTTGCTAGGAAGTAATTGTTCATCTTCTTTGATGAATTCATTGGCTTGGAGAGCAGTTGTTAGGCTTAAGCAAATATGTCTAATCTTGGACAAGTTTTGTTAAACACTCTTTTAAACATCAACAATTCATAAAAATTTGTATGCATTTCCTTTTGGTTTTTTTTTTTTTTTTAAATTTTTGGTGACAATTGGTTCCTTTTTTTGGGTATTTGTTTTTGTGTTATCTATTTTTTTTTCGTATGTATTCTATGTTATCTTTTTAAACTGATCTGTAATGATTTAAGGGTTCTATTTTATCTATTTCTGTGCTCATACAATTCTGTTGCAAATATATTTTTTTTTCGTATGTATTCTATGTTATCTTTTTATACTGATCTGTAATGATTTGAGGGTTCTATTTTATCTATTTCTGTGTTCATACAGTTCTGTTGCAAATATCTTAACCAAACAGGAGCAGAATGTATCAGAATAAGCTGTTTATCAGCAGATTATAAATAATCAAAAGCTGTCCCAAACAAACTCTTATTTGATATGCTCGGTTCTGTATGTTATTGATTTGATCTAACTAGATCAAATTAACCCTTTGCACATGTCTGTGTTTAATAGTAGTGTATACAATTTTGCTTACATATTTAACACCAAGCTCTCATACTTACATGCTTAACAATGAGATCTTTAATACCACATCAAACATCTTACTATTACTTCCAGAAAAAAAAAAAAAAAATTGTCACTAGTATTATAAATGTAATTAGGTGTTAGAAGTGTAAATACATAAGAATTATGTGGTATGTATGTAAATTTTCCTTTTTTTTTTGTTACCTTTTAGATTTTATTTTTAGTGTAATATAATTAATTGTAAGTACATATATTAATAGTTTTAGATCTATTAGAAAATTGTGAAACTCTTTTATAAGGGGACAAAGTCCCTACAACTTCTGAACGGCGAAAGGATCTGCGCCCCAATAACTAAAGAACGACCTCGTCTTTTATTGCATGTAATGCGTTCCAGTCATATATTTTGACGTTGTTCCTCTCTCCAATTATTATCAAACAGGAGAAATTATTGCGTATGGACACCGCATGCATCTCTGCATGCGGTGTCTGATCCTGACCGTAGATCACGGTGATCTACGGTCATGATTATTTCCGTTTTTTTTTAAAATTTTAGGTGGGGCCCACCGAAATACATCGGGACCGTAGATCAAGTAATTTACGGTCCGGATCACACTGCACGCAAGCTGCGTGCGGTGTCCGATCCGTATGGAATAATTTTTTCAAGTTTTGGGGCACTTGAGCCATACCGTCTATTGTTCGTCACAGTAGCCGGGTCACTACCACCTCCTCAGCATTTTCTGCCACTTTCCTAGCTAAAGTCACATCTCACTCATGTAATATTGCTTCTAACTATTCAAGTGCCGGTAAAGTCTTGTATCCTACATCCGACATAGTAGAACTGTTTCAACTGAATTATGCTCTGTGATTTTTTGACATTTCTAGTTTTTCAAAGAAAAAACTTATGGCGTTCTCTTTGTTAATTTTCTTTTTAATTGTGTGTGTGAGTCGGATCTTTGTACAACACTAAGATGAATTTACGAGCGCTCATAAATTGATGATACTAAAGTATGATAAATACAAATATGGACCTAGGTGAGTGTATTTACAAATTACACTTGAGTGTGTCAGGTTTAATTTTTGTAAATAGCAATGTATTGGGGGCTCTTTATGTAATCGCCCAAAATAGAAAAGCTTCTGCTACAGTAAAAGAAGCCTAAGGTTTCATTTAAAACAACTGTTCACAATTTTAATTTAGAAAAGCTGCAATAATAATAATAATAATAATTTTATTTGTTAGTAAAAAAAAAAAAAAATTAAGTGTATAATAAAATTTGGTAGCTTCAAAATAACTAGTATCCTAACTTAGTATATCACATGATTTACATGCATTCATATAATATGGCTATCCAAATATATAAAAGCGTTTGTGGTATATATGTGAATATGAGATTTCGAGTCGAGTTGGGGTCGGATTAAATAAATTTAATGCGACTCGAAATCACCTAGCGACTCGTTATATTCAATTTCGAGTTGAGTTCAGCTCGAAATTCCACTCAAAATCAAAATAAGCAGACTCAAATTGAGTTATTAATGTCGGTTTCACCTCGCAATCGACTTGATCCAGCTCAAAATCGAAACTAATTCGCTCAAATTGAATTATTTGATTCGTTTCAACTCAAAATCAGTTTAAAATTAGCTGGTGCCTTGTTACTTATTATTATATGTATAGCTTCTATAAATAAAAAACACTACAAGCCGATCTCAAATAAGTTCGAGTCAATCCATATATGACTTGAACTCGGTTAAAAAAATTCAATCTAAAATTTCAACTCATAATATATATATATATATATATGCAGCAGTTTGGATTGGCTATCGCAGTCGTAAATGACAAATAGTGGAATTGATCTGTGCAAAAGTGGGCTGAAAATTGTCATTTATTGATCGTCGTTGGAAATGATAAAATGATTCCTTCCATTGGTTTCAACGGTCCCGACCTTATTCAACCTCACGCTTTTGAATAATTTAAAACAATATTTCAAATATATATATATATATATATATAATTTCACTGCAAGAGGAATGCATTAATAAAACAATTTAATGTCTCTAAGAGAGTATTCGATATGTGTAGATATAGTATTCTTTTTATTTCATAGTGCATATGAAACAAATTTTAACCATTAATATTGGCCCAATTTATGGTCAACTAAAAATAACAAGATAATCATGTGCCACAAGGACTTGTTCACTACAATCTCAACCACGATGTGTAATTCTTGGAATGATGTGAATAATTTGATATCAAGATTGACAATAAAATAGGCATACACAATGACATATTACTATATAAATCATTATTCCTTTAATATTCTTTTTTTATCTTGGTTTTTGTATCTCCAAATTTACGTGCCATATGCCAACCAATTTTCTAACTTCTCCACATTTTATGTTTCCAACCGCTACCTTCAATGTGTGCGGACATCGCATGCATCTCTGCATGCGGTGTTCCACAGATTATTTCTGTTTAAAAAAAAAAATTAGGTGGGGCCCACCGAGATATATCCGGACCGTAGATCAGGCCATTGATTTACGGTCGGGATGGGACCCTGCACGCAAGATGCGTGCGGTGTCCGATCCGTATGGAATAATTTTTTCAAGTTTTGGGGCACTTGAGCCATACCGTCTATTGTTCGTCACAGTAGCCGGGTCACTACCACCTCCTCAGCATTTTCTGCCACTTTCCTAGCTAAAGTCACATCTCACTCATGTAATATTGCTTCTAACTATTCAAGTGCCGGTAAAGTCTTGTATCCTACATCCGACATAGTAGAACTGTTTCAACTGAATTATGCTCTGTGATTTTTTGACATTTCTAGTTTTTCAAAGAAAAAACTCATGGCGTTCTCTTTGTTAATTTTCTTTTTAATTGTGTGTGCGAGTCGGATCTTTGTATAACGCTAAGATGTTAATATATCACTCTTCCGTCGCGAATTTACGAGCGCTCATAAATTGATGATACTAAAGTATGATAAATACAAATATGGACCTAGGTGAGTGTATTTACAAATTACACTTGAGTGTGTCAGGTTTAATTTTTGTAAATAGCAATGTATTGGGGGCTCTTTATGTAATCGCCCAAAATAGAAAAGCTTCTGCTACAGTAAAAGAAGCCTAAGGTTTCATTTAAAACAACTGTTCACAATTTTAATTTAGAAAAGCTGCAATAATAATAATAATAATAATTTTATTTGTTAGTAAAAAAAAAAAAAAATTAAGTGTATAA